CAACCAACCAACCAACAACCCAATCACAAACCAACAAACAACAAACCAAGAAACCAAGAAATCAACCAACAACCAACCAACAACCCAACCACAAACCAACCAACCAACCTACAAACAAACAAGCCAACCAACCAACCAAACAACCAACCAACCAACAAACAAACAAGCCAACCAACCAACCAACCAACCAACCAACCAACCAACCAACAAACAAACAAACATACAAACAAACCACCCAACAAACCAAAAAACAATCCAAGCAACGGACCAACCAACAAACAAACCAGTCGGTGTGATAAACTAAACTTTACATTTCTCATTCTTTTACAAATGTACACAAGATATAAATAATTCAAAAAATACATCTTATGTAACAATTATAAATATTACATACAAAAGACACCTAAAATTATTTACAAAACATATACACAATGTGGGAAAACAAAATACATCTAATATAACATAATATACAAAAGACACATATAAAATTATTTACAAAAGATATACACAAAGATAGAAAACAAAATACAGCTAATATAACATAATATACAAAAGAAGCATATACAATAATTTACAAAAGACATACACAATGTTGGAAAACAATAATCTAATATAACATAATATACAAAAGACAACCAACAAACCAACAACAACAAACCAACCAACAAACCAAGCCAAGAAACCAAGAAACCAACAACCAACCAACCAACCAACCAAACAAACAAACAAACAACAAACCAACCACCCAACAAACCAAGAAACCAACAAACTAACCAAGAACCAACCAACCAACAACCAACCAACCAACCAACCAACCACAAACCAACAAACAAACAAACAAACAAACAACCAACAAACCAAACCAACCAACCAACCAACCAACCAACAAACCAGTCCGTGTGGTAAAACTAAACTTTACATTTCTCATTCTTTTACAAATGTACACAAGATATAGATAATTAAAAAAATACATCTTATATAACAATTATTAATATTACATAAAAAAGACACGTTAAATTATTTACAAAAGATATACACAATGTGGGAAAACAAATACATCTAATATAACATAGTATACAAAAGACATATATAAATTATTACAAAGATATACACAAAGTTAGAAAACAAATACATCTAATACAACATAATATACAAAAGACACATATAAAATTATTTACAAAAGATATACACAAAGTTAGAAACAAAATACATCTAATATAACATAATATACAAAAGACACATATAAAATTATTTACAAAAGATATACACTATGTTGGAAAACATACATCTAATATAACATAGTATACAAAAGACATCCAACAAACCACCCAACAAACCAAGCCAAGAAACCACCAAACCAAGCAACGCACCAACCAATCAACCAACCAACCAAGAACAAACCAAACCACCCAACAAACCAAAAATCAAACCAAGCCAATCAACCAACCGACCAACAAACAAACATACAAACAAACCACCCAACAAACCAAAAACAATCCAAGCAACGGACCAACCAACCAACAAACCCAGTCGGTGTGATAAACTTAACTTTTCTCATTCTTTTACAAATGGACATAATATAAGATATAAATAATTTTGAAAAAATACATCTATTATATGAACAATTATTATTATTACAGTCACATATAAAAGTATTTACAAAAGATATACACAATTTTAGAAAACAAAATACATCTAAAATAACATGATATACAAAATACAGATATAAAATTATTTACAAAAGATATACACAAAGTTAGAAAACAAATACATCCTAAAATAACATAATGTACAAAAGACACAACACCATCACAATCAAATCAAATCAACAAACTAACCAGCCAACCAACCAACCAAGAATCAACCAACCAACCACCCACCCACCACCAACCAACCAACCAACCAACCAACCAACCAACCAACCAACCAACCAACCAACCAAGAATCAACCAACCACCCAACCCAGCCACCCACCCACCAACCAACCAACCAACCAACCAACCAACCAACCAACAGACTAACTAATCAAACAACCAACCAGCCTAGTGTGTTGTAAGGGAGTTGTGTGTTATGGTGTGTTGTGAAGAGAGAAGAGTTGTGTGTTACGGTGTGTTGTGAGAAGAGAGGAGAGTTGTGTGTTACAGTGTATTGTGAGAAGAGAGGAGAGTTGTGTGTTATGGTGTGTTGTGAAGAGAGAAGACTTGTGTGTTACGGTGTGTTGTGAAGAGAGAAGAGTTGTGTGTTGTGGTGTGTTGTGTTGTGAAGAGAGAAGAGTTGTGTGTTGTGGTGTGTTGTGAGAAGAGAGTTGTGTGTTACGGTGTGTTGTGAAGAGAGAAGAGTTGTGTGTTGCGGTGTGTTGTGAAGAGAGAAGAGTTGTGTGTTACGGTGCGTTGTAAGGAGAGGAGAGTTGTGTATTGTGGTGTGTTGTGAAGAGAGAAGAGTTGTGTGTTACGGTGCGTTGTAAGGAGAGAAGAGTTGTGTGTTGTGGTGTGTTGTGAAGAGAGAAGGGTTGTGTGTTACGGTGCGTTGTAAGGAGAGGAGAGTTGTGTGTTGTGGTGTGGTGTGTTGTGAAGAGAGAAGGGTTGTGTGTTACGGTGCGTTGTAAGGAGAGGAGAGTTGTGTATTGTGGTGTGTTGTGACGGAGAAGAGGAAAGATGTGTGGTGTTTTGTGATGAGAAGTCAGAGTTCAACCAAATGAACCAACAAAACAACCAATCAATCAACAAACATTTCCCACAAGACATGAACGAAATATGTATATACCATATATCTTTTGCTGGGCCGGGGGCCTCCCCAGCCGGTGGTCAGGCTTCGCCGGTGGTTGGGCCGGGAACATCCGCTGGGCACTCCTGACGGTGGTGGGGCTGGAGGGCGTCAGCTGGCCAGTGGTCGAGCCGGGGGCGTGCAAGCCGATGGCCGGGCTGTGGCATTCAGGGCCCGGTGGTGGGTGACGATGGCAGGCTGTGGCAGCAGGACGGCCCCTCAGGTCGGTGGTCAGACAGGAGGGCGTCACCCGGCTGGTGGTCGGACCAGGAGGACAGCGAGATGATGGTGCCCCCGGCTGATGGGCGGGCCGGGGGAGGGTCCCTCCATAGGATGGTCGGTCCGGAGGGTCTCCGTCTTCATATCGTCTGTGGGCATACTGTAGAAAGAACATCAGACTGAGTGCGATGGGTTAAATGTACATTGTACATACAGAGATAGTATGCACAATGTACATGGCAGAGACTCTCTGCTTATTAATACTACAATTGTGGACCACCTATCATAAAACAATACTTCCATTTGTCGATTTCATTTGTTGGTTCTCAGATTGAAAAGAAATTAAGTGACAGGGCAAAAAAATATACAATACAAATAGGTCTGTTACAATAATGACCAGAGGAATTTATAATATATACATAATTAAAACATCCCTCAGATATATGGAGAGAGCTTTATTGACAACAAAAGTACAGCATTTTGTTGGTCTATAACTGATACAGCAGACACGTTTTTTTTTAAAGAATTGACCTACATATTAATATAATCATGCCTTGGGGTTTTAATCAGTGGAACCGTAGAAAGCAAAACGCTCCGAAACCAAAGACATTTAACGGTAATAGTTACTGATCCGACTCTCACCTTTATACTGCGGGTCTCCTCGTCGTACAATCAACGTTAGGTTTGAGCCCTCAAAGTGATGCCCTGGGCTGTGGAGGTTTAGCACCTCCATTCCCTAAGTTGCAAAGAGAGAAACATTTTATCACTTGGGCATGTTGACTCCAATGGCAGTACGTTTGAAGGTAAAGTTACATAGTTCACTCATTACCTATCAAATTACGGGAAGATTTCCGTGCACATGGTTCAGAAGTAGAAAGGAAAACAAGAAGCCATAGGTGAGAATCCTCCGTGAAGTTTTATATATTTCAACAAAAACAATCCCAAGCGTCAACGCCAGACCTACTGTGCAGACATTATAATTAGGCAACAGTTAATACAATGAGGGCGCGTCACAACATAAAACATAAAAAGACCTATAAATCCATCACTGCTCCCAGGGCGTGTAAAGATACTGTGCTTCAAGTTCGAAGTTCATTTTAATTACATACACACAATCATTACATTCGCATAAAGATCGGACTATCATGGTCGTGTCACTATTAACGAAGACAGCCCCACCGTCTTACCGTGCCTGTTACTTATTAAGCGCGACTGGAACAGGCCAAATTCCAGCAACAGTTGCGGGCAGCACCGTGGCCGGTCAGATACCCTCTGCTACCAGACAACTGCCTAAACCTACGGCCTCAGGATTGTAAAAGTAGGGATGTTTCTAAAATATGCATTTACTTCAATATCAAAACTGCTACGGTGAAAATAAAAAGACGTGCATCATCACGGACATAATGGTACACCACATGCCCAATTACACACGCGACGTACGGAAGAATGCGTTTTGGCTGCGAACATCTTCCAAAAAACTTGCCATCTCTTATCACGGGCAAAAACATCTGGAACCACTTATCGGAACCTCACCGTATCTGCTTAAAGTTCCACCCCCCCACTGCTATTCCAAACAACGCGTTTTTCTGGACCATAGGGGTGCATCTGCAATATTGCATTGACCGCGAAAGCAGCAACGGCAAAAATACACATTCGTGCATCAACACGGGCATGCCCGCAGACGGCGTATAAAATTGCGTACCGGTCGATTACACAAAGAGAACCCAGTGTTTTGACTGCGAACACGAAAAATCAGCCGTTCACCACACTCCGTCCGGAGGTCCTGACCTCCCTCACGGAGCAATGATACGAAACCAAACACTTGACTGTCCGCTGAAGGTCACGTTACATACAACCGATTCCGGTGAACTACAATTGTCGACCGTCTCACCTTTACATTGCGGGTCTCCTCGCCGGAATATAACGTTATGTTTGAGCCCGGCGAAATTCTTGTGGTGTGGTGATGCCCTGGACGTTTTTAACCGCCATTACCCCCACATTTCGGCTTGCAGACCGCCGTGTCGATAGAAGAGCGACTATCTTCTCTTCGCGCTGTAGAAGCAGTTGAAAATCGACTGATTGAACTCAGGCACCACCTGTGCGAAGAATTCTAGCCTCCGATTGGTCGATTGAGCAGAATCCTGGCATGCTCATTGGTCAGAAAAATGCAGTTTGGAGCCTCTCCGTTGGTCAGAAAAACGCACGTTTCCCATTGGTCATCTCTGCTGATTAGATTAATTTTGACGATTTGGTTGGTCGGTCACATATGAGCCTGCATGGGGGTTTTCGACAACGCAGGAAGACGGTGCAAAAAGAGCGCCGGCTAGCGACCTTACTTGATGCTACAGTATTTAACATACCCTCAAAAGAAGCACAAAATATGATACTGGTCTCTAATAAAAGCCATTAAAACTAAATCGACTGATCAATAAGCAGAGCGGGAGCACGGACGTTGACGGCAACAACGCACCCTATTATATAAACATGCCAGAGCCTTCATTACTATGATGTTGGGCATCAAGGAGAAGAAGAAAACATGGAGGTCAGGAAGAAGCAATGACAGAGAGTACTAACTCTATGCGGCTACGACGACTTCTTTGGTGCATACATGTACCTCCATTTTTTGAGGCAGTGGCTAGTTGTTCCAATGTCTATCTAACGACAACACCCACCAAAACGATATTGTTTTTTATTGTTTTTAGACAATATCTACTATTTTGTCGGCAACCAAAGAAGTGGGGAGGGGGGCTTGGGCATGTCTGCTACATGTATGTATGACAACGTTGGTGCATGCGCACATGTTTGTAAAAGTTGTTTTGCCTTTGATAGAAGAATATATATTGTTTCTTCGATATTGTCTATTGTTTAAACTCATGCTTTCTTTTTTCTTCCTTTTAAATATCCTTTCTAAGTGGAGTAAAGGTTATTTGCATGATAGACATCTCTTTTCTACCTCTATCTGCATTTCATACTTTCACCCCAGTTGATATTCTATTTCTTACAACACAACAAGATTGGCAATAAGAATTGTTGCATTTTGTGTGATATTTATTCAAGTTCTTCGTCACATTCCTCACAAAATTATATACTGACAGTTTTGGGTATAACTCGCCTACGAAGCCATCTACAGGTGTCCATTGGTAACATATCGTTTTTGCTCTGTTTCTTCTTCTTTTTCTCTAAACACATAAGTTCAATGACCTTGACCAGACCTCCGTCACTATGGTGACCGGTGCTTTAGGAGACACCTTGTGGTGTCAGGTTACATAATGCAGCAAGTGGCAGTTGGTGTGTGTCTGTGTGAGTGTGAGTGTGTGTGTGAGAGAGTGAGTGTGTGTGTGTGTGTGTGTTTGTGTGTGTGAGAGAGTGAGTGTGTGTATGTGTATGTGTGTGTGTGTGTGTGAGAGTGTGTGTGTGTGTGAGTGTGTGTGTGTGAGAGAGAGAGTGAGTGTGTGTGTGTGTGTGTGTGTGTGTTTGTGTGTGTATTTGTGTGTATGTGTGTATGTGTCTGTGTGTATATGTGGTTGTGTATGAATAAACAGAGCAGTAGCAGGCTAGACCATTTGAAGGTTGACATTCTACATTTGCTTTTTAAATGTTACTTTTTTGTCGTTTTTATGGCAACTTTCCTTTATGTTGCTCATCACTGACAGTTCCTTTTTTTTGCACAGGACAGAAGGAGGCGGCGGGAAGCCAAGCTCAAAGCGACACTTCACTTTCTTAGGTTGAACTAATAAAGGCAATGTCTGGATTATGTGGAATATACAACTCTAGATTATAAATATGTCAATCATAAAATGATGGACTTGAAACGTAAACTGTAAATTCTCTCCGTGTGGAGACTGAAGCCTGACTACAACAGTACAGTACTGCTTCATTATATTACATTCAGTATTTCTCATGTGCAGATTTTTTTCTATTTCCTAGTTTTCACCTTAAAACAAAGCTCATGCGAACCACTCACATGTTCACAAAAAGGATTACAAAAAGGGACGAAAAGTCATCTACAGGAGCCCCTTGTTTACATATTGTTTTCGTTCTATTTCGTTTTCTAGTTTTTTTTTTAAGGCAAATTTCCTTTGTATTGTTACCATTACTCATCTGAAGTTTCCTTTTCCGTGCACAGGACAGAAGGAGGCGGCGGGAAGCCAAGCTCAAAGCGACACTTCACTTTCTTAGGTTGAAGTAATAAAGGCAATGTCTAGATTATGTGGAATATACAACTCTAGATTATAAATATGTCAATCATGTAATGACAGACATGAAACGTAAACTGTAAATTTTCTCCGTGTGGAAACTGAAGCCTGACTACAACAGTACAGTACTGCTTCATTACATTACATTCAGTATTTCTCATGTGCAGATTTTCTTTTCCATTTACTACACTTTTCACCTCAAAACAAAGCTCATACAAACCACTCACATGTTTTGCGTTACAAAAAGGTAAATGTAAGTCTGTGAAAAAAGTTTTAGAAGTCACTTAAAAGTTTTAATTTTAAGTCTACTAATTTAGTCTTAAGTTGTACTAGTTAATTTGACTGCGGATATTCGGAGAGCCGTACAGCAGTGGTGAGAGTTCCGCCTGTCGCCTACGGACGTCCTGATAAGAAAAAAAAACAAGTAGGAATTAGCAGGGATGACATGTAGAATGATTTAGTAAAGACAAGGTTGGTGTCAGGAGCAATGACTAAACGGTAGGGTTTCAGGACATACTAGTAGTGAGGATACAATAAGTACCTGGAGCGGTCTGGCATATGAAGTACAACCGCAGGTCGCAGTAGTGGTCGTTCCACTTGTCTTTGTGTGATGGGTTCACGGAGTAAGTGACGCAATCTTGTTCGCGCCGTCCCCGATCGTTGTTCGGTTGTCGCTTACCCCAGGAGTTGTACGACCCAAGTGCAGACCAGTCCATCCACTCAAACTTTCCCTCTTCGCGCTGATCGTGCAGGCCGATCCAGAAGTTCCCACTGTCGCTCATGGAGTTGTGCAGGGAGTCCAGGAAGGCGTTGGTCTCGGCGTCTCGGGGCATGGCGAGGGTGCCGCCGTCTGCACGGCAGGCCGCCGCCGCTTGGTCGAAGGTCTTGCGTGTGTAGAAGAANGTGTGTGTTTGTGTGTGTATTTGTGTGTATGTGTGTATGTGTCTGTGTGTATATGTGGTTGTGTATGAATAAACAGAGCAGTAGCAGGCTAGACCATTTGAAGGTTGACATTCTACATTTGCTTTTTAAATGTTACTTTTTTGTCGTTTTTATGGCAACTTTCCTTTATGTTGCTCATCACTGACAGTTCCTTTTCCGTGCACAGGACAGAAGGAGGCGGCAGGAAGCCAAGCTCAAAGCGACACTTCACTTTCTTAGGTTGAAGTAATAAAGGCAATGTCTAGATTATGTGGAATATACAACTCTAGATTATAAATATGTCAATCATGTAATGACAGACATGAAACGTAAACTGTAAATTTTCTCCGTGTGGAAACTGAAGCCTGACTACAACAGTACAGTACTGCTTCATTACATTACATTCAGTATTTCTCATGTGCTGATTTTCTTTTCCATTTACTACAGTTTTCACCTCAAAACAAAGCTCATACAAACCACTCACATGTTTTGCGTTACAAAAAGGTAAATGTAAGTCTGTGAAAAAAGTTTTAGAAGTCACTTAAAAGTTTTAATTTTAAGTCTACTAATTTAGTCTTAAGTTGTACTAGTTAATTTGACTGCGGATATTCGGAGAGCCGTACAGCAGTGGTGAGAGTTCCGCCTGTCGCCTACGGACGTCCTGATAAGAAAAAAAAAACAAGTAGGAATTAGCAGGGATGACATGTAGAATGATTTAGTAAAGACAAGGTTGGTGTCAGGAGCAATGACTAAACGGTAGGGTTTCAGGACATAGTGAGGATACAATAAGTACCTGGAGCGGTCTGGCATATGAAGTACAACCGCAGGTCGCAGTAGTGGTCGTTCCACTTGTCTTTGTGTGATGGGTTCACGGAGTAAGTGACGCAATCTTGTTCGCGCCGTCCCCGATCGTTGTTCGGTTGTCGCTTACCCCAGGAGTTGTACGACCCAAGTGCAGACCAGTCCATCCACTCAAACTTTCCCTCTTCGCGCTGATCGTGCAGGCCGATCCAGAAGTTCCCACTGTCGCTCACGGAGTTGTGCAGGGAGTCCAGGAAGGCGTTGGTCTCGGCGTCTCGGGGCATGGCGAGGGTGCCGCCGTCTGCACGGCAGGCCGCCGCCGCTTGGTCGAAGGTCTTGCGTGTGTAGAAGAACTTGTAGCAGATTCCACGCCACTTGGTGTAACCTTCGGGACAAGGTGCTGGAAAACACGTTTTGTATCAGCTACAGGCAAAGGATAGGTCATATTGAAAATCATGATATACATGTGATATATGCTTCCTTATATTACCAATATTCAAAATTCCACATGTAACGGTGTGTTTGAAAGGCGACTTACAGCACCCCCACATTATTTATTTTCCAACTAATGATGTTGGCACATAGGCTAAGATGAAGAGCCAAAATAACAGCTAAAACAATTTACCCAAAGTCTTCGAGTTCACAATCTCGTGAAGACGCTGCTCCAAGGTGGCGGTCCGGCTGCGCTCGTTGTTCAGGTCGCGCTTCAAGGCGTCAACAGTGGTGGACATGCCGTCTTGGTCGCGCTTCAAGGCGTCAACAGTGGTGGACATGCCGTCTTGGTCGCGCTTCAAGGCGTCAACAGTTGTCGACAATTGGGATATTTCCTACAAACGTGTTTTATACGCACGTCAGAAAAACATGCAACAGCAAATTTTTGTACCCGCTTAAAAACAGAATATCTGAACAACAGGCTTATAGTACAAGACTGTTACCTGTTTGTTGCTGAACGTCAGAGGGGCGAGTCCCACGGCGACCAGACTCAGTAGCACGGCGATGCCGGCGGCCACGCAGCTGCGGCGGGCGCGGAGGAAGCTACAGACACCCCGGCGGGCGCTCGCTCCACCCGGATACGCGCGGTCTGGTGGGAAAACATATTTCGCTCGGGTTATCGCTTACGTCAACTTACCAACTCAACATGTTAATGAATATATATAGTACTTAAACGCTACATCAACAAAACAAAGCCAGAATTTTCATCCTTGCAAATCCTCCGAGATCTACAAAATATGTGTATAGTGATGCCCAGTTTCAACTAACTTACACGTATAAAACTCACAAGTATAAAATCCCATTAATTAATCAATTAATCCATTAAAAGGTATTAGTTTTGCAAATGAAACCCTGATTCCTACCTAAGGCCATGTTGATTTGATTATATGGATGACATCCACGCGCGCATGAAGTTTCGGCCGTTTCCAAAAAAAAAGTTTTCAACCATACTGTAAATTGCACAAAACAGTTGCAACATGAGCACATATATAACGTAATTATAAGTTGAAAAAAAAACAACTTTGAAAACGATACCAATGCCAAAACCAAACGAAAAAGACGAAAATGTAGAAAGTGAATTTGAAGACTAGATTATTCGCCAAACCATACTCTGTGTCATTTGTTAAACCGTCAAAACCACGTAGATTTCATAATGAAAGCAACTTTTTTTTGGGCCAAACTTTTTCTTATTCGCACGCTCGCATCAGTTTTGGAGTTCCCAGAGGATGTCATCCAACATGGCCTAACTACCCTGTTTTTCACGACTGATGTCAGAAACACAATGATATTTTTCCAAGGACTAAAGCCCGTTGTGCATGTGGCAGGAAATTTAAAGTGTACCTTTGAAGAAGCTGTGAATTCCATCGCACCGAATCCGATGCGAGAACGTTCACGAACCCTGCTGATGAATTTTACATGCGAGGCGCACAGTAAACAATGGAGGGATTTCTTGTTGTCATGAAATTTACCCATACAGCAAACTATGCGATAGTCAGTAAGTTAACATATACACTAAAAATATTTTGTATAGTCTGGCCATGGGTATCCAGGCTATCTTTCGTACTGATAGTACAAATATCCACTGTAAAAGGTAGGTGTGAAAATCGCCGGTTACCTGCAGACGTTGCGTGACGTTTCACCTCCTCGGCGTTTTCGTACGTGTGTGAAGACGTGTCCTGGTCTTCCCGCTGCTTGTCAGAAGCGCCGTTGCCATGGCGGACACGCTCGCGTGAACCACTCTGAGGGACGGGACGGGGTTGGGGCGCCCCGCTGGTTTGGCGGCTGTCGGGGCCGGAGAAAGGCGACCGGACAGGCTCTGCCTGCTCATACATTTCGGCCGTACTGTGCACACTGTATTGTTGCGCAGTGTATAACTGCAAAATTCATGAATATGGCAACTAACACCTTCATTAGTCTGACTTAGTAAGGCTACATTTGCCCGTATTTGGAAAAATGACGTGGGATGAGGTGATGCAATAGCATTTTGTGTTTATGCAAGAGCCAGACTCATTTTCGTGGCAAAAGAATAAATATTTCTGGGCAGGTAGGGAGAAACATAAAAGAAATCTGTGCGCATGCACAGGCGTTGTTCATACATACATGTAGCAGACAAGCCCAACCCCCCTCCCCCCCACTTGGTGTCCAATGGGCAAATTTGGAGCAGCCAGCGTGTCCCATAATGTAGATTTTCCCCGGGCACGGTTTGGGACAAGGCATCCGCGTGTCCCGAACTGTGCTCAGTCCCCAGGCACGGTTCGGGACACGCGCCGAGTGTCCCAGACCATGCCCGGGATTGGTTTGGGACAAGGCCATCGCGTGCCCAGAACTGTGCGCGACCTGAGGCACGGTTCTGGACAAACACTTTGTTTATCTACAAGTTGATTTGCTCTAGTCTGTCGTGGATACGCGTCAGGACTATCCAGATCCGTGCCGTGGGGTTGGTGGGTACTAGAAAAAAAAAAGCCTAAAAACACCCTAAAAATACCCCCCAAACCCAAACCTCTTCTTGGAGAGTAGGAGACAAAATGCAACTTGTAATGTAGCAAATGAAACTCCCCCTTTT